TGCTACTGCTACTACTACTACTCCTGCTGCTGCTGCTGCTGCTGCTGCTTCTGCTGCTGCTGCTGCTAACTGCTACTACTGCTACCACGACTACTGCTGCTGCTGCTACTACTACTACTACTACGACGACGACTAGGACTACGACTACGACGGCTATAAGACTGTGATTGGGTCTACGATTACGAGTCACGAGTGTTATTACTGCTACGACGACGACGACGACCAGGACTGGGACTGGTTTTGGTTTTAGTACTACACTGCTATCTTGCGACTACGGCACCACTGCCACTGCCACCACTGCCAGCACACTATCTACGATAAGAAGAACGGTGGTTTGGCACGACGAGTTGTTGATAAGCCAAAGAGGGTTTCGCATCAAACATTGGTCAAGCAAGGGCTGCACCCTGACAGGAAGTGGTTGTGTACACGCGCTCCAGCCTCGTGGAACAATCAACAGCCGTGGCACTTCCGATTGTAGCTGCCCGGCTGATGGCATGCGATCTTCCGTTTGCGTGCGGTCGTGTAGCTGTGAAACAGGCAAAGTTCGACAATAATGCCTTGCATTTTTCCGCTCCACTCAGATGCGGCATCGCATGCTCCATTTCCAACTATTCAGACTACACAGTTGTCGTGCCACAGTCTACGCCGTGCGGGAAGCTCTGCTCAGCAAGCCTTTCCTGGCTCAGGACGAGTTCGCTACCGTGGGCAGCATCCACTTCATGGACATTGACCAGGAACCCATGTCTCCAGTGTGAGGGCATTGCAGTCGATGATTCAGTTCGGCTGCCTGTAGATGTCAGTTCGCGAGGACATCGACATGTTGGGCGGGGAGTTCTCCTGGGTTCCACCGAATGACACTTCGGAGGCATGGCAACGACACCTCGATCTACTCATTCTGTCAATGGTGCATTTGGCGGTTGCTTTTCTCGTAGCCTTCAGATGCACTTTCAGCATCCACCAGACCTGAAGCTCATCTTTGCTTTTGGGAGGTGGCATTCTACGTCGGCTACTTTGCGACTACCCCAGGCATGTTGGATTCAGGAAGCCGCAGGTTCGAGCACCTTGGCCTTGCTTGTCTTTTTGTTTTCCACATGTTCGTGTTGCATAATACCTGTCGAGTCAGGGAACTTGTGGGCAAGGGACGATACATAGCGGATGCATGGACAGCCTACAGAGTGGACAGCCTAAAAATCGCTGCAGCAGAGAACCTAGCGTGAAGATAAGTTTGCACACGGTGGCATCCTGACTTACATGCTTTTCGTAGGTCTTCGCACAAAACTGATGCGTGAAGACCTCGTGTGCTCTCCGCTTCCGGTAGTTGCATGTTGCTGAGGTTTGAGATCCTTGGCCACCTCAACTCCTACGATTTGCCGTTCCAGACCCCACAGTCAGGACAGGTCAAGACTCTAGGAGTTTGAGTTCAGAGCGCACGGCTATGAAATGGTTAGTCAGTAACAGAAGACTACAGTACTAACGTAACAACTGCAAATCTTGTTGATTAGCATTGGGGTCAATACAGCGCAGAAGTTGAAACCTCGAGATCCAAGTTTCGAAGCCTGTCGCTTCAGGGTACAGCTACTTCTCCATCTACACGAAGTCTTCACTCGCAGAGCAGACGACCCCCAACTCTGTCGAGACTGGATTGCAGGGGGCAGTTGCATGGAGTGCGTGTTCGAAGAGCTGCATCACACTAGTTCACACCTTCAAGCACAAGTTGCAGTCTCTTTCCGGATCAGTATGGCTACTGTGGCACTGTTTTTGACCGTTACCGACTGCTCCGGCCTTAACAACGGGCATTTCTAGCCGCCTCAATTCGGCTCATAGGCTCTTAATTAGTTAGTGTCATTAGCGCTTTCTGAGGAAGTCATCGACTTTTGCCAGAATGTACCCACTTTGGAGAATCAGTCTCTGCACCACGGCCGGATGGTGCAAGTGCAAGGGGCCATGGCTTCGGCGAAGCACCACATGCAACTTCGCACGAGTGCCATGCAGCAAAGTCCCGACGAAAACTCTGCTGCCTCTGTCGGCATTGAGACGTGGGTTTTGGCTCCACGGAATTTGGAGCTTGGCTCAAGACTTGCTGGGCCGAAGTCACTGCACTGCTGTCTGCCTCTGGCAGGTATGTGGAGGAAGGCGTCCACTTGCTGGACATCTATGACGCCCCTTGCTTACGGCAGCCTTGTAGTCGAGATGCGAGACCTGCACTTTCAAGTAGTTGAGTCGCATATGCTTCGCACGCGTTGGTGCAACAGGCATAACAGGCGACTTAGCTTTGGTGCGCGAACTTTGGTCTTAAGTCTGGCCTTGCTTCTGCACAAGCAGACTTGCACCGCTGTGCTTGACATGCGTTTTGCTAGGCCGAATTTCCTGCCCCAGAATTTACTGTACCTGACCTGCGCACGCCACCCGAAGCCGAGGTTCCAGAAGTCGTCATAACGAAGTTTACAGGAGTCAGCGAGGATACTTGGATTGACTGGGAATGTCGTCTCGGAAGCACCGGCTTCTCTTAAAAGCAAAGCAGGGTGCTTATCATGTGGCAGGGTTGCTGTGCAAGGGTCACAGCAGCATGTTCTGAAGGACGGACTGTCTCTGGAATTCGCACCTTTGCGGCGCGGCCCTGTCTACATGATCATCACGGACACCGTTGTCCCTTTCAGGCAATATGGTGTCTCTTTGACCTGCTTCTAATACAGCCCCCAAAACACTCGCAGCATATATGCCGTTTGTGGGTGTGGGCCTCAATTGTCAAGATGCAGGTCCTTGGGGACCACCTGTTCCGTTGAGGGCAACCCTCGGCATGGATGCCGCAGCGGGCACGGGTTTTCGTAGGCATTGACTTCCGCGGATCCAAACTGAATTATGGAGAATCTCGGGGACAGACTGCGAGTCCCAGCCTGTCGAATAGACACCATTGAGAATAAGCCTGGGCACGGAAAATTAAACTTGCGAGTTCACACTTCAGGTTTTGGAAGTTTTTGCGGATCAGGTCTCACCATCTCAGATCTGCAGGAGCCTGATAGTAGTCATGAGGAGTTGTGCTTGTTTTTGGTGAACCAAGGCCGTGGCAGTGGGTGCCTTAGTGGCTGTGTACGAGCCAGAGCTTTGTGGTGTTTCTTGACGACCCCCAAAGGATGTTTGCCACTGCTTCTAAGAAGGAAGAAGCTTCAGTATTTGGTATAGATGGACATGAGCTGCGGGCTCGAAAAGGAGCCTGTTGACAGGACTGCAGGGAATGGACCCAGTAAGGTTGCTCCTTGGCAGTATCTGTGCCTTTATTGCAGGAGCTTGGCACTGACATGCAAGAAGGTACGAGCATCAAACGGCAGTGGGAGAAGCATATTTTTACACTCAAACATCTTACCCTCCCTGTAATCCAAAACAAAGGCTGCTGCTACCGTATACGATTCATGAACAACGGAGACAAGAGAGTCAGAGCAATGACTCCGAGGGCATGACCAACACGGATGTGCAGTCGCTGGCCAATGCCCTAGGCACAACGTCCTTGCAAAGGGTTCGGCATGACTGCATCTAAGTTTGAGGTTTCGGGAATTGACACATTTCATGAACATCCACAAACACCAGATTGACTGTTGGAACCGTCCGGCCGCTCCAGAGCAAACTGGTTTGACGCATGGCCGGAGGGGTTGCAACAGCTCTGGATGACAGAGAAGTGTTTTCATGAGCTACTCATGAGCTAAAAGGTCCCTGGTCCTTCCCCCATCCCTTTGCCTTTACCCGAAGCCCCTAAAAATTGCTGGGGGCCAGGTGGGCCCAATTGCCGCATCCCGGGAAATCTCATGGTGAGCTGCACAGCGCGGGGACTCAGAAGGTTTCAGATTCTCAGATGTTGCAGGCTTCATGGGTTGAGGTTATTCTGCCAATATTCCCAGGTCAATGTACAGTTGGAGAGGCCTTCTGCACGACAGTCGCGTGGGAAGCGTGGGATGGTGTATGTGCTCTAGTCTTCCGGCTATGGGCGATAATTCAGCAGTACATAGCAGTACATTGTCGATCGGCTAGATTTTTTTGCAGGACCTTCTACACTGATTCTGCGCAATTTTCAGCCATAGACGCTCTGCACAAGCTTCGGTTCGAGTTTGGGGGTGGCTGTGGACCGAAGATCTTGGGTTTGCGGCAAGCACTGCATGTGCGTAGCAGGAGGAAGGAGGCTATGAGGAAGGGACTTCCAGCAAAGGCCTTAAAGTCCCTCCCCTACGATGCTTGCGCAAACTCAGCTTGCAAGAATCCCCCCCACTTCCGCGAATGTGTCTCGCGCTCTTGCCCGACAGTGCGCCAATCCGCCTCCACCATGCGTGAATCAAGTCTTTTTTGGGTGCGAATGGTTCTTTGACCCACTTTCGTGATTGCACAACCCGAGCGTCGAAAGCTTAAGTCAAAGTAGGACAGCAAGCATCCGGAAGTTCCATGGCTCAGAACATCACCTTCCAGCTCTCCGGGTGCTCGCTGAGCGTTGGGGGCAGTTCGGGCCCAAGACTCGAGAGGATCCTCAGCAGGGGCTGCGGGGTCAGTAGATGTTGATTTGAGGAACCCTGGCAGCTTTTCATTGTGCCTGTAGAGTCGCGCCTAGAGTCTGTAGAGTCAGCGTCAAGCTCCATCATTGAGACTTTGCAAGCTCTGAGACTGGTATAGACTGGTCACGATGTCATACCGAACACTACCTGCAGGTTCTTGCAATCGGAAAGAGTAACTAAGCTGCGGAGGCTTCAACTATCGCCTTTGGCTCCTCCAAGAGGATGGGGAAACTGGTACTATTGGAGAGGCCAGTCCTGTTTTTGGTTTCGTTTCTTGAGTCGGCTGTCGGACGGGTGTGGAGTACCGGCGATGTCAAAGCTTGAGAAGCAGTCGGTACTGGTAGGACATCTGACATAACAAGCTTAAGAGGGGCCCATGGTTGGCAGGCAGCCTACATTGACTTCATTGTGGCTTCCGTCGTCTTCGACCAAGGCGGCAGCTGCTGTCAAGCTTGTATAGTAAGCATAAGACAACCCGCTCGTGGCTCCATAGGTTCGCTTGGTACAGAGAGGGACTCCCACCTTTCCATGTAAAACTTGCATTGCTCCTCTCTAGGCATGGCAGATGGTGAGCATTTCACCGACAGCTGGACAGTATCGTTACGCTTTAGGCCGAGCGAGGTCTGCGAGTCTTATATAGACGAACACGGAGACAAGGTGAGACGGTAAGGCTGTCTTGCTATCTGCTTTCGAGCCGAGCAACATGCACAACCTAGACCGACTGAGAACTCTTCGAAGCCAGCTGATGTTTTCACTGCAAAGGATAGGTCCTACCGGACCCCACACCTACACCAGTGCAAGAAGAATTGAGCCCCAGGTCCCTTCATCTACTTTCGGAATGCTTCTTCCGTCGCCCTGCAGTATATCCCCAGCCACGAGGCCGTTTACAGCCAACAATGCCTGCCAGCATGGAAGAACTAGTGAAGTGTGTCTGTTCGTCACACATTATTCAGTAGCAGGGGGAGAGGGAGGAGGAGGAGGAGGGGAGGAGGAGGACTACTACTACTGTGCTACTACTGCTGCTACTACTACTACTACTACTGCTACTACTACTTCTTCTTGGGTACCGTATTCGTTTTGTCCATTTGTTCTGGTTTTTTCTGTGAATGTTTCTGGTTTTGGTTGGGTTTGCTGACGAAGGAGAAAGAGGCACGTCAGATAGAAAGAAAGGAAGGACCGCAGAAAGAAAAAAGGAAAGCCACGAAAGAAAGAAAGGAAGAACGCAAGCAAGAACGAAAGAAAGACAGAGGCAGAAAGAAAGGAAGAAGCACATGACGAAAGAGCTAGAGAAAGACAGAAAGAAAGAAGGAAAGAACGGAAGAAAGGAAGGAAGGAAGGAAGGCGAGAGTAAGAAAGAAAGAAAGAACGAAAGAAAGAAACAACATAAAGAACGAACGAAATAATTTCAGAAATGAGAGAAGGACACACAGAACGAGGAAAGAAAGAACAGAAGAAGAGAGAGAGAGAGAGAGAGAGAGATAAAATAAGGACAGACAGCAAAGACGGACAGAGGGCACAGAAAGAACGACAGAACGAGCTAAATAGATAAAGAAGGGAAGACATAAAGGAGTAACGACTGACAGAAAACTGCCGACAGCACTCAAGAAGGAAACAAAGAACGAGAAAACGAGAGACAGAGAGAGAGAGAGAGAGAGAACGAACGTAGGGAGCATGCTGTGTAAGAAGCACCGTCGGGGAAGTTTGCAATGCAGTATTGCTATTGTTGTTGTCTTGCTTGGGGGCACATGACGGAGCCTCACGAGCTGTCAGAGCGGCAATATGCTGCCAGAAGGGGCACAGAGCATGCGACGCCCTTAGTTGAAGATGAGGCGGGGGCTTGAGTAGTTCAATTCAGGGTTCAAGAACCAGTGCGCGCCCGCGCGCAGGGAGGGGGCATGCGCGCTCTCCCTTGACTGTGCTGAAGAAGAGAGAACGAACGAGAGAAACAAAGAAAGAAGCACAGAGGAGAAGCAAGGAACAAACAAGTGGCGAAGGTCAGAAGGGAAGAAGAAGACAGAGGGCTTTTTTAATGCCATGCATGGCTTGCTTTCAAGAACATCGGGCAACCAAGAAGAATTGCGTCAATCACGTGACTCTTATAGAAGGTTTAAAAATACACCAGGCATTCAGCAAAAGGGGCGCCCCCCCCCTTCCCACTCCCTTTTCGTTTTCTGCCGTGCTCGGCTTGCTTTCAAGAATATCGCGCCATCAAGAAGAATTGCATCAAGCGCATGGCTCTTTTCGAAGTTGTCAAGTTTTCGAATCCCCTTATAAAACTTATTAAGGCATGCTGGTCGCGGGGCCGCCCCCCACCCCCGCGCTTTTTCAAACGTGCTTGCTCGCTACATCATCCTGCCAGCAAAAGCGGAGCCCATATAGACCCTTTCTGAACCGTGATACCGACATGTTTGCAAACGGAGGGGCGCTGCGCCGCATCCTCCCCTCGCTTTTTTAAGCTAACCCTTCGCCTCAAGGGTCCGGGGGTTTCTTGAGCCGCAATCGCCACATGAGGGAGCGTGTTTAAGGTTTTGATCAAGCGAAATCGACAGATATATATATATATATACATATATATATATATCTATATATATATATAGACATGATGAACCGGAACCGCCAAACGAGCGGGCCTGTTCCAGATATAGACAAGAAGGACAAACAATGCCATAACGAAAGAAGGACAGAGGAGAAGCAAGGAACAAAGAAGTGGCAACGGTCAGAAGGGAAGAAGAAGAGAAGAAAGAGAGCATGCATGGTTTGCTTTCAAGAACATCGCACCATCAAGAAGAATTGCGTCAATCACGTGGTTCTTGGAGAATTTTTCAAGTTCTCAGAAAATTCGCCAAAGGAGGATAACATAAAAACAAGCCAGATTCTTGGGACGAGGTACCATTGAGAGGCCTGTGGAAACCTGAAACCCGAAAAATCAACCAGAAAGAGTACACAATAAAGAGTTCCAATCAGACGAGGAGGACAGGCAGGACCAGGGGCACGGGGCCATGTTCCGAAAACCACAAGAATAGCAAACAGAGCCAGAAAAAAAAAGTAGCAAACATAAACGTCTCTCCCAACTTCTTCTGCTACTACTCCTGCTCCTCCTCCTGCTGTTGCTCCTGCTGCCGCTGCTGCTGCTGCTACCGCTGCTGCTGCTGCTGCTACCCCTGCTGCTGGTGCTGCTACTTGTATCTGAGAAGAGTAGCAGGAGTGGTAGCTGTAGCAGATAGTAGTTTTGGGGGTAGTATTGCGGGCGGCGCTTCACCCGGCACCTGGCAGTCATGGGCAGATGGCGGGCTCAGAAGGGATGCCTACGTCAGTAGTGTTTCGAGTCATGCGTTGTTAAGTACTGGACAAGTGTAAGTACTGGACAAGTGAAGCGTCGTTTCCGGAAGTGTTGCGCCTTCTACCGATCTTCTTCAGGGAGAGTTGCAAAGTGTAATACAGGAGGTCTGAACTTGAGTGCATTAGGTGGCGGCCGGCTGATGGCGTGTTGCAGTCGCGGGGTTACATGGAACATCTGCTCCCAAACTTTTGGAAATTTGACGCTCTGGCACATGTCGACACTCGAGGCTCCCCATGGCCTCATGACCTCGAGGCCCTTGCAAGCAACTTAGCTGTCGGCAACGAAACCAAGCTGCAAGCTGGAGTGCCCCGATTGTTGGAAACGTCACCCTATTCATTGTCGTCTTGTCCCTGCCGCCCGCGAGCGCTGCCCAAGTGCTGCCTTGTGTTGGCGAAGGGCTTCGAGTGGATGTATGCTGTCCCCACCGCTGGCGGATATGCTGATCAGGCGAAGCACTCAGTTTGTGCTATGTGAAAGACAGGCTACAGTGCTACAGAATATGCCTTTCGAATCAGACCCTGTGCAGTTGGGGAAAAGAGGCACCAGCTCCACACTTAAGTTAGAAACTTCGGTTCCGTTGCTGTTGCTGTTGGTCGTCGTCGTCAT